TAACACTCGTCTTTCTCAGAAGTGGCCTCCTTCTGTGAAGAGCTGATGATGTTGTGAGGTCTGCTCAGGTTCTCCTATTTCAGTCTGTGAGCTCTGTAACCCCTTGTATTGTAGCTGGGCTGCTGGACTGCTGGCACCCCTCTGACACCCGCCCTTCTTGCCCGAGCACTGAGTTTGGCCTGATCTTGGTAGTGTCTGGGTTGTGCCATATTTTTTCTTTTGTTACAATGGATTTCACAGTGCTCCTAAGAAGATTCAAAACGTTGCTGGTGTTTTAATAATCTTCTCTTTTTTTCCTCCGAACAACTTCATCTCCATGCTTCAAGGTCACTTCCTCGGTCTTCGGGACAGCAGGACTGATCTGATCTGTCATTTAAGCTGCGAGGCCTCTCAAAGTCAGAGATATTTATTGTGCAAGCATACAATTGGACACAAGTGGATTTTATAATCAGCACAGGTGTACCGTGTTTAGCATATTTATTGTGATCTCTTAAAATTTAAATACTAGTCCTAATTTACATGGCTAAAAGAGAGGGGGTGAATACTTATCAATTATGCAGTTTTCTGACTGTTTTATTTTTTAAATAATTCTGAGGACATCTAAATACTTTATTTAATTTTATGTTGCAATACAGCAAAAAGAGATATAATCACTGGGGGATGAATACTTTCTGGAGGCACTATATATGTAAATGAGATGTAGAATATCTGGGACTTTCACTACCTTTTAAACAGTAAACTATATGAATTTGGGTAGACAGCGTCATCATACCAGGTGTGTGTCTGAGAGTGGTGGTGGTGGTGCAGTGTTATGAGAAACGGGTGAAAAACCTTTCAAAATGAGGTTACATATATACCAGCTCCACAAATGTGTGCACTTTCCCCCAGTCTAGCTTGTTCTTTTGACTCTGTAGCAGTTGAAAACCTGCACTCCTGGGCAAAAAACGGGGCCAAGCCCAAAATGGCAAATATCAAGCTTTTAATGGTCTTAACAACAAATACTGGCCAGAAAATGAGCAGGAATGAAACAAATGCACTCCTGAGAGCTCCTCTGCCACCATTTGCTGGTTGACTTTTGCTGCAGTGAACTGTTTGTTTGGGGAAAAGCTAGAAACAGGGACATTCACTTACACAGTGTTCCTGAATGCAAAGGTAAAATCATGATAATGATTAAAATGTTTGATGTAAAATTCAAACTAACAGAATTTTCCAAAATTATCTTCTGGGATTTTTTTTTTTTTTTTTAAAGATTAGTGATTATTTGGTTCTCTGCCACACCTGATGCAGCCCATCAACGGCCACAAGGCTTAAACATTTAAAGAAATCAATGGGAAACGCTATCCCATACTAACTCCCTTTATCTATCTGTTTAATTCTTGCTCATTTCCTGACCAGTGATTTGTTGTTAAAACCATTAAAAGCATTAACATTTTGCCATTTTGAGCTTGGCCCATTTTTTTTGCCCAGGAGTGTAAAAACACGCCATCTTGCAGTGTCATAAAACTGTACATGCAAAACTACATGCTTATCATGGTGGTTCTAGGCTTTCTATTCCTGATATAACATGTAAGCAAGTGGATAAAAAGCATATCTGGAATTGTTGTACTGTAGAACTCAACGACATTAGTTCACTTGGTTAATTTTTCTCATCGTGTATTACTTTACTATAACATTTTACCTTCTAACTGAAAGGCATAACATACGTAAGAGCCTCTTCAAAACATTTAGGTTCCCAAACTTGATCCTGACGTATAAAAGCACATTTAATGTTTCCCCTTCTAACAAATCCCACAGAGTTAAGAAGGGACTCTAAATGAAGTGATTTCCTAGAGAAACTCCAGGACCAGGACTGGGAACCACTACCTCAATGTTTTGGATGTCCTTCTAGCTGAAATACACAACAAGTATAAGAGCCTCTTCAAAACATTTAGCTAGTGGTTCCAGAAGCTAAGCCTGAAGTACAACTGCACCTTTTAGTGTTTCCCGCTTTTAACAAACTACACAGGTTAAGAAAGGACTGTTAATTAGCTGATTTGCTGAGGACACTCCAGGACCAGGGCCATTAGAAACCATGGCACAGTGTTTCACTTACAACGACAAGTCTTCTACTGCAGTTAGTTATAAATATTAAGGTCTTTAAGGAAACTGCATTCTCCAAACACTGTAATACAAAATATCCACTGTTTATATCATGGAACAATTCCAGCTTTCCTTTTTTTTGAAACGTAGGTCTCTCTTATCTCAGGAGAATCTAAACTTAAAGCACAAATTGTGGGTGATGACTGCTTCCCTTCCCCGAATTCAAGACAAAAAAAACACAGGGACTTTTCCTGATAACCATCTATAATAAATGAAACCAAAAATTTGAGCTTTAAGTGGGAGGTTTTTTTTGCGCAAATGTCAGAAGCGTTTACAAGTTTTTGCATTCTCTGGTAGCCTACTGTCGATAAAAGAGTTGAAAGTGGGTTCAGAACAATAGCGAGGCACAGGAAGTGCCTCCAACCACACACCTTTACAACTACAGTAGTGCACGCATCTTTCTGCAGCACTTGCCATAGAAGTGGGAGTCAGACATAAACCAATCAGCAGCATGCCTTGCTACAGAGACTCTTTGTAAGAAAAGAGACAAAGGAAATGGTAAAGGCCTGTTCCTGTAATACAATGCCTTTTGATAAACATTCTTATTCTTCATTGTTGTTTTTTTTTCCCTGTGTTGCCAAACTGAGTTTTTTCGCCCTGTCCCGGTTGCCATCACACCTTCATTCTACGTTCTTGCTTGTTTCACATGTGTTGGAAATTAGAATATAATGAATATTTGACTGTCCGTAGCATCACATGATATGGGCTCTGAAATATGAAGTATCTTGTGTACCAAAAATACGTAGCCTACTTCATTTTGGCAAATGTTACCTCTTAGGAAAACACTGCTTTAGCGTAATTTGTCACTTGAGTTTAAAACCGTAATAATGATTTAGGGTAACAGTGTAGAGTGTAATCTTCCGCTTGCTCTTGCACACCCCATTTAATCCATAAGCTTCTTAGGAAAACGCGCAACTTTGTATATCTATGAAGACTTTCAGTCTCCACAGAATGGTAGTGAGCCAAGAACTTGATTGACGATTGTGATGTTGAATGTACGATACTATGTCCTATGGTTCTTTAAGGGATTCCTTAAGGGTTCACTGGATAATTAAGGGTTCTTAGCATTCTAGCCTTTTCTGAAAGGAAAACACCCTGTTCTCTCTGTAAGGGTCTACAAAAAACCTTTAGTAGAGTTTTTGTCAAAAGGTTTCCGTTGTTATTAACTTACCTCCTCTCAGTGCTAATCTTATCGATTTCATCTAAACTTCACAAGTTACTAATTCATTACAAAGCTGATATATTAACATGCTATAATAACATATTTCCGTGACTATGTTATGTTTTCTTTTCCACACTTACTGAAATCAGTTCAGCTGTGATGCTTATTTTACACAAAGCACTGCTGCATATACAGTGTGTTGTGTATATATAATGTATAACGTATATTATAATATAGAATATTGCCTTGACTTTCTACTATATGCTAAATTAAATGGAGGAGCTGGAAAGTGATACAAGTGCAAGTCCATAAAGTGCTTGTATCACTTGTCAATTGTCCCTGCTGAAAAAAAAAAGAAAGAAAGAAACCCTCAGAGAAATTCTAACGGTTTCCACTACAAGTACCATTACAAACCATCAGCTGACCATTAAAACAACTGCCATTACCATTACTGGTCCTTCATTATTACCAGTAGAGACCCTCAGGGACCATTACAGTTTCCATTAAAACAAATACAATTCCCATTATAACCATTAAAACCATTACAAATTCTATGAGGGTTTCTATTGGTTTTTTTTTTTTTTTCCAGAAGGATTATACTGTCTTTAAATCATTGTGGATTAGAGGGTTTGTCAGCTGTTTGTCAGCTTTCTCTGCATAAATATGCATAGAAAAATAAATATTAATGTACATATCAGTGTATTATTTCACAGTTGATCTGGTCCATTTAATCATCATCTCTAAACAGCAAATGAAAATATTCCCGAATGTAAAATATTTACAATCAGACATTTAGCAGCACAACAAATTCCTTTGTCTTACCATGTAGGTTAGAGTGGACTTTTATTTCCGTACAGGCTCCATGACTTTTCTTGTATCGACCTGAGGTGAAGTTAAACTAGCAGAGAGACAAGCCTAACCGAGCGCTGCTGCTTTGGCAAGAGAGTGACAGGTAACAGTGAGACAAACCTATCCGATGAGACATCAGTATATTAATGAAAATAGAAATAAACACTGAAATAAAGCCGGTGTGGAAAATACAGCCCTCTGAGCTCGCATGCAGATCTGCGGTTTACTTCACCTCAATAAGCTGCAATACGTCAGCCAGGCACACTACACACCAATTTCCTCGTGTGTGTGTGTGTGTGTGTGTGTGTGTGTAACATATTACCCAAGTTAAATATTGCTCTCACGGCAAACATAGTCTTAAATTACTACAGTTTCAAAGTAGCATCCAGATCAGTAAAAATGGCAGTGTTGCTCATAGTAAAGGAAGAAAAAAGAGAAAGCAAGCACAGAAAGCATGAACTCTTATCAGTGGTCATCATGTCAACAAGTTCAGCCCTTATTTTAAGTTAGTATCCATGAGCTGTGTTTACTTACACAACCATGATATTCCTAAAATGAATTTTTCTTTTTCTGTTTGGAGGGGCTTTGTGTATATGTTTTCGTTTACATAATTTTATACCTTGAAAAAAAAAAAAAAAACCCAAACAAACCTGAAACTGAAAACCCAGCTTGGTATGACTGATCAAAATGGTAGACCATCTTATCCAGTTGATAAGATCTCTTCCAGCTTCCTTATGACATTATTAAACTGACCAAGACAGATTTTCTAATTGCCTGCTTGTGTTATTGTCTTCGAAATAACCTAAGATAGATAGTCAAGATAGATAGATCACTTTATTCAACAAATAGATGGTTCCACTGGGGGTCGAAACCCAGGACCTTCTTCGTGCAAAGCAGACGTGATGACTGTCTCCACTACACTATGAAACCACTTGATGCAACTTAATGTAACCAGTGCAGCTAATGTTGCATTAGTTGTGGTAATCCAGGAAATGTTTCCGTTCCAGCACATACCAGCTGGCAAAGATGGTCTACCAGCTTAAATAACTCGGCCTGTATCTTTCAGCTGGATTCTGTAATTGTTCCATCAGCTCTGGAAACTGATTCTGAACCTATATATCAATATGAACATATCAATCAATATATAAACCCATCAATATATAAACTCTTGACAAATCAAGACATCTTAAGATGTCCTACACATCTAAGATGTCAAGGGCCTTTTACGAGACAGCAGGAGGATTATACAGGTTTTGATCTCCCTCTGTCATCCAAAAGGTGAATTACACCACCTTTAAAATAACTGCAAGTAATTGGTGTGGTGTGTTTGTGGTTAAGTGAAAGTTTTTACCACACTATTTGATTTCCATAACCCCTTTTTAAGATTTATAATGAATATCAGTGAGACCGTCAGCTCATTATAGATTAAATAAAAAAATCTGAAGCCTTACTTATATAGTCTCTGCTTGTAAACTCTGTGTACTATGAAAAAGAAATGATTATTTATATAGAGTTATTTTTATCAAATGTAATGTGTGTTTTGCAGAGAGGTCAAAATAACATTTAGAATCACACACGCAAGCATACTGGAGCTCCTTCTCACTCTATTACTCTTGCCAAAGTGGGCCTTAGACTGTATGTGTGCCTCATTAGATCGTAGAATGTAAAATAATGATACGCAGGCATACACAGAAAATGTAAGGGATGGTAAAGATTTTATTGAAGCTTCCTGCATACATCCAAGATTTTACCACTACAGTCTGAATTGCTCCCCATCTCATATACACCTGTATATCTTAGTGTCTAAGCACCAAGGTCACATGCCATTTTCCCAGCAGCTCCTCTAAGATAATCTCCATAGTGAAAAAATATCCTGTTGGCTTTTTTCTTTTTGCAAGCTCTTGCAGTTATAGACAAAAGCTTTAATCTAAGGCAAATGCCTGAGCTTTCTAAAAAATCAAAAATAAAAAAATAAAAAAAACTTCCCCTTACTTCCTCTTTTTATTTCCCTGCTGAGAAATATTTAGAAAGCAGCACACATTACTAGTGGTTCCTAATGGTTTCTGTCTAATGTCAGACCATTTTCTGATCTAATTTCATTCTGAGGGCAGTCATCTACCAAAGAAAGGACACCCTATTAGGTTCTGTGCTATTTAGCAGAAAGTAACCAGAAACTTTCTAATGGAAACTCTCAAGCATCTGATGGTATCCAGCAAGCCAATTTCCATTAAGGTCCAGTATGTGATAGAAATCATTAGGGATTTTAATGGCTTGTAATGTTTTATCAGGGTTTTTTTTTTTTTTTTAATTAATAATCAAAGCAAAATTGGAAAGGCAAATAAATGAGGATAATGATATACAATAAATGAACACTGATATGTACAGTACATCACTACATTTTTTGTTCTTAAAGCTCTAAAAATCATTCGGTGGTGTTCTTGTATTACAGCAAGCAAGCAAGCAAGCAAGGAGGCATTACAACATTAACATGAGGATTACACGTCAATGATTAAATAAAACAATTAAAGTGAAATGACTAATGAAAGAAAGAAATCATTTAAATGGGGGTAAATCATTAATAGGGTTAATCATTTAAACGTACATGAGATTAAATGTCTTGACATCATTCATGTCGAGAATTCGGCTTGAGGTCATTTGTGTGGTTTGGAGAACACCCTGGATTCTGGCTGTCAAAAGACACTAGGGCTCCCGGCACTTCAGCAAAAACAGGGAAAGAGAATAAGAATGATGGTCGTGGCCATATGAACTATCATGGAAGGCCATGCTCCACCACAGAGTCATGATCCAAAATGTTAATCATCATTTTCAGTGAGATTCACCTGTTGGGTGTTTTTTGCAGCTGGAGAAGAGACACATTTCCCCTCTACGCCACTAGTAACATTTGATTTTGCAGGGTTTACAGTCTTGACAGTTGTGTGTGTGTATGCACAGTATGTGATAATATGACTTCATATCTCAGAACTATGGTCATGCCATACTGTCATACAAAAAAGCACTGAGTTGGACTTGCTACTGAGTTCGTATTACATGGTTAGCTCTAGTGGTATTTGAATATCAAATTTAAGGACGGTCGATCCTCTCCCCACACACGAGAAGTTGGTTGAACAGAAACGTGAGGGTGCTTACACTTAATGATCCTTACACTCCATGTTCTGTTTGCAGTAGTAATGACACACTGACCTATTCACTGATTTTATTCTCCATTTCAGTCTCTCTATCCACACCAGCTTTTACACAAGTAGCCACTCGGCCATGGAGTTTTAATGTCATTTACACTTGATGGTTTTCTTTCAGTGTTAGTGCACTTTTCAGATTTTCAAACGCCTTGATTTAATAAAATAAAACAATTTTCTCTCTCTTAACCAGAACACGCCCCCAGGTCAAAATTCAATTTTCATTTAATATAATAAGCTTATTATGCATGCATGCATGAAATTCCTCATCTGACAGCACTACTTTTTTCCTAAATTTTGTTTTCCTGCTTTTATATATATATATATATATATAAAAAAGTCTCGGGGGCACTGAAATACTCTGCTGAAAACATGTGGAAGAGTTCTGAACAGAACAAATTCTGCATTAGCCTTAGATTATTGTGGAGCATCTACCGTACAAGTTTCTGTAATGGGCTTTTACTATAAGAAAACAGAACAAAACAAAACAAAAAAAAACATAGATGATAAAATTCAACGCTGTGCAGTTGAAAATATAGCCTATTTCCCGGGAAAACCACAGACTTGGCAACACGGGCCTTGCTTCACCTGTACAGTGTCTAGCACCATGGCCACACACCATCCTCCCGCAGATCCTTCAAGATTATCACCATACAAACACTCTTAAACGCACCTCCACTTACAGTAAAAACACTATAAGGGCCTAATAAAGACAAATATTTGTGCATTGCAAGATATGAAAGATCATCTTGAGTATTCTCACAGCCTTTAATTCATTCATTCACACTGAGTAAGCAGTTTCAACAGAACAATAAAATCCCACATCCCACAGACAAAAGTTTTATGAAGCATTCAATCACCAGTTGCACGTATCTTTAAAACGACTAAACTCTTGCAGAGTTTCTAAGTCAGTTTGGACTGCGTTACAAAATAATTACAAAAACCTCTATACTCGCATAGGAAAAATCACATTGACCTGTTACTCTTAAGCTGCAGAGAGGAATTGACATGCTCTTTAAAATTGTGTCTAACCTGCCGGCAGTCAGACGCATTCATTGTTACCAATGGAGCCTTTTCCCTTGATGAATAAGATAAAAGCAAACGTCTGCAAAACATGATCAAATGGATTCTGAAAGCTTTAGGGAGGAGAGACAGTACAAACCAACACTATAATTGTGCAAAAAATCAACAAAATCATAGCTGTAAATGTCCTGGCTAAAATCAAATATTAATCTAACAGACTATAGTTTATGCATTGCACCTTTCATTACAAGGCCATGGTAGACTGAGGCAAGCGATTGGGGGGAGGGGAACAGTAGATCTTGCCATCTGTTTGTGAAAGAAAACAATTACAACATACATATTTCTACTACCCAATGCTACTTAAAATGGATTTAAACTTTAATCCACTTAAAATGAAAACCATGTGACTTGCACATCACCTCTTGAGGCAGTACCTCACAGCCTAAAACATACACATTATACTTTGTAATTAACACATCTTAAGAATGGCTTCTGATGATCATGTTATGAAAGGTTTCCAAAATAGAAACTTTAACACACATTTCTGTGAAGCATTCCTTATCATGTTCTGGACATGCAAAGAAAAGAAAAAAAAAAAAGAAACTTGATGCTGAGAATGAGTTTACTACTTGTGTATCAGACCCACTGATGAATAATCGACCCATTCCGAAAGTACTGAAGACTGACTGATATTAAACAGTGAAGAAGACTGTAAAATTGCATTGCAGCTTTCTACCAAAGAAGTGCACCTTTTCAAATTGATTTCAATCAGCATTACTTACAACTCACCATTTAAAAAAAAAAAACCCGTAAAAAAAAATCTCACCCACTAAAATCCAAATGAAAACTTAAACACAAATAAGTCTAATTACTATGGGTCCATATAATGAGTAGAACTGGCTCGCAAAACACTGATGACCAAGAAGGTACCGAGCATGCCTTTAACAGGCATTACACATTCATAAACTTCATGATATGCCTCACTCAGGACTTCTACAAAAATAAATACATGAAAATATTTACAAATAGAAGCAGTGTTCCAATTTTCGGAATTTAGGAAATTGTCGTTTATGGACAATGATTATGTATGCTGTCCCAGTGTGTAGCAGTTCCAATGTCTGAGGCCTTCCCTGTTTCAAAGAATTGAGAGCAACCATAACACCTTCAATTCATACCCAGTACTATAATAGTGACCATTATTATGTTTAGCCCATAAATGTGTTCCACCAAGGCTAAAAGACTGATTTGCACCCTCAATTAGTGAGAATTTTTGTAAACTACTGAAGAAAAAAAAAAGAGTGAAATAAATAAGAGGATCTGGCACAGAAAAAGCAAGTTCCATACTAAATACAGTGTCCAGTTAAACAGGTTTGTTCATCAGTTTCGCCACTTAGACGACATATTGGTTGGAGGCATAGTTCATTGTGTAGGCCTGCCTGCTGTACTGAAAGTGGTCGCTGAGCATGTTGGTCCGGGTGTACTGAAATTCTGAGCCTTGTTTCAAGGACAGTGATCCATTAGACTGGGGCTTGTCGAATGAAATCATGTCCTGTGAAGAGACTGGCAGCAATTTCTTCTTTGCTTCTTGGTTTGCATCGTATTTCGTCTGTTGAATAACAGAAAGGAAAATACAATTTTCATGACCTCTTACAGAGCAATGATACTTGAATTAAAGAATAATTTTAAGCTTCACACATTTCTAATTCCTATCTT